CTTGTCCACATATTTGACTTTCTTGCCCTCTCGGTACGTGTAGATTGACGTCGGGTAGCAGCCAGTAAGCCAGTACAGGGTAATATCAGACAAGATTGTGTTGACGGAAGGCGTGGTGGACGGATCAGTCCACGCCATGAACTTCTCACCGATCCACGCCAGTTGCGCCATAGGGGAACTGGACAGTACGAGACCAATGGTGGAAGGCTTGGTGCCGTGTTCAACTGCATAGGCCTTGCCTACTTCCATGAACTCGTTCATCCTCTCCAGACCTTTCTTCTCCGCTGCACTGAGCTCGTCCTCAGGCGAAGAGTAGGACTTGATGTCGACCGCGTGCATGAAGTTGAGATGCATGCCTTTGCACTCGGCGTACGTAAATGCCAGCTCTCGCGCGATCCAAGCGCCGATATCGCCGCCCTGGACGAGGTATCCTGATGCGCCAAACCCGAGGGACAGAAGTAGCTTGTGCATGATGCGGGATGTGTCTGCAACCTTCCAGTCTTGATCCAGGGGTGGGTCAGACGATAGAGCGAAGCCGGGGAGAGACGGTACGATGATATGGTAAGGGAGGGTATCTGGCGTATACTTCTTGCTCAAAACTTCCATGAGGGGTAGGAACTCCAAGAATGAGCCAGGCCATCCGTGGAAGAAAGCGATTGGGATAGCGTCTGGCTTGTTGGAGAACAACGCGGCGAAGTGGGTGTCGTAACTGCTACCACCATCGTCTTTGATGGTGGTCTTGAAGTTGGGGAGAGAGTTGATGCGCTCCTCTTCCTTGCGCCTGTAGCATGTCAGTACAGTCATCCCTTTTCAACTCTTTGTCACGCTGCATACCAGTCGAACTTCTCTATCCATTCCTTCTTCGCATCAATGATCCACTGCCGGCTGATCCCAAACTGGCCATGGCTCCCCGCATTCTGCTTGTTCTCGTACGTCTCTTTCGCGACCGGACTCAGCTTGAGCAGAGTCTTGAAGTCCTGCAGCTTTTGTTCCTCAACATGCAGCTCGAAGGGTGTAGGCTGCTGTTGCGCGCCTGCTGGTACGGTGCTGAAGGGTTTAGCTGACGTCATGCTTGCTATTGGTTACTGTCCACGATTGCGATAGTATGACCAGGCAGGCACGCAATATTCGTTTGAGGGTGATAGCCTTGACAGCAGACTTATATATTCGTTGTGATGTCGGAGGTATAGCCGGAGAGCTTACAAATGCTGGATAGCTGGCGTGAGGTGATGCAGCTGCTACCTAGGTATACACGCGCTAATTCCGAGTTGGGAAGTCGCTATCCTACCTCATTCAGGACATGATCTGCATGCTTATGTCATGAGACGCCCTCTCATAGGTTACAGTGTATACACATTGCAGACACGGCATTACAAATGCCTGCAGATCATAATATACACGCGTGTGGTGCTGCAGGTTTGGGGTCAAACAGCTTTCTTGAGTCAAAATCACGCGTCGCTGGCAAGCGTAGAACCACTCCACTCCGGATTCTCGTCGGTGATAGTCGGTGATGAAGCGTTGAGTGCACATTGAGTATCAATGCCCCAGTTCGCGCAATACAATGAAGTGTAGAATGCTTTGAATTAAGAAATAAAACTATTCGCTCATAATCAGCCAGGCGCCTCCACCAAAGAACACCGCGAACACCATGAGAGTAAGAATCGCAGCGCCAGCCTTGTCCCCTGTCGTGATAGAGTCATGCTCAACACGCACAGGCCCCACATCACTTCCTGCAGTAGGGTCATTCTCACTGATTCCACCATTGTCAAGTCCAACCGGACCGGAAACTTGATCAACAAGCAGATTCTGCATGACCTCCAATGCAGACATTTGCTCTCCAACGCCCACCTCTTTGTCGTTTCCACCTTGCCACCACCTCAGACCACAGCCACCTTTTCCGGGGCCACATTGTTGCGCGGCTGCCACGGCAGAGGCACGGAGTTTGGGCATGATGCGGTCGCGGGTCCAGGGAGCGGCTAGCATCGACCAGCCCATCCAGCGGGCGAGGTAGGCTTTGAAGGATCTCTGATCGTGGTCGCATAGTCCGTTGCGTTCGCAGGCCATTTCGATCATGACGTCTGGGGCTCCTTGCTGTTGGAAAAAGATGTCGGTACCGTTGATAACACCGCCCAGGCGCTCTCGCCATCTGCCTGCTCGTTCCTTCGTTGGATTAGAATGAGTGTGGAGTCAATTCAGGTTCAAGGAGTCTTACCGTATCACCCTTCGCTTCTGACATGTTCCACAACGCTGCGGCACCCGCCATGTGGATTCCAGCGTTGTAGGTCCATTGGATGTGGTTCTTTTCCGTGCAGTTTTGTCTCTCGCTGGTACCATCTAGAAAAGGTATATGTTAGTATGTGTGGAATCTGTAATCCATGCACGGGCGTCCTTACCAAAGAAGTGGTAATCTGTGCTGATGAGACCAACGCTGTACTGCCAATCCCATGCCTTCTCGGCCCACTCAACATACGTCTCGTTGCCTGTGTATTTTGCCAGCCTTGCTGCGATGTTGAAAAAGCATCCGTTGGAGATTGTGTTCTTGTAGTCGAATCCGGGGTTAAATCGGAAAATTTGCCAGTTGAGTCCACCGCCGCATGTTTCGGGATTCCAACGCGGTACCTGTGTGTTGAATACGGCGATGGCGAGTGACAACCACGACATTTCTCCTTCGACATCTGGAAGCTTGTTTTCCGCTGCTGACATGGCAGCCATTCCCCAGAAAGCCTGATCGTCGTTTCCTAGTGTTTTTGTCTGGTTCTCTGGCATAAAGGCTCTTGGGATACCGATTTGGTGCACCATCGCTTGCTGTACAATCTTGTTGTATGTGTCGTCGCCGGTGTAGTACCAGTAGTCGATGAACGAGTTCATCATGGCTCCGCATAGCCACCAGTAGTATGGGTCTGGCAAGTTTCCAGGTACATCGCCGGGTTTGTCACCAGTGTACCATTCTCTTAAGCCCGCCGCAACAACTTTTGTCGCATCCTTAATGGAGGCTATTTATGTTAGTGGGGTCCGAAAACAGTTGCAGTGAGCGCACCTGGATCGTCAACATTGAACTCCAGCTGCGCAGTGGCGAATGAGGAAAGCAGGCCGACTGCTGCAAAAACAAGGTTCGAAGGTCTCATGGCGGAAGCTCCGGGGTATCACTGGAAAGAAAGGTGTTGGGTATTCGGCATGCGTGGATTAACGAGTGCGCCTGAGGCACTGCACAGCGAGCGACGTGAAGCGGTGCCTGAGGTTGGTGTGGAGGAAGCGAGGGAAAACGAGAGAACGAACATTCTAGGATGGCGAGTCGTGATGTTATGAAACCCCTTCGGCCGTCAGCCAAGTAACGGCGTTGAGCCGCAGCAGTAGCTGGGCGACAGTGCAACGCTTGGTAGTCATCCTTCGGTGTTGGTACGAGGCTAGGGTTGGGTCGTTTAAACTCGTTAAAATGACTACGAAACTCACGATTGGCTTGGCCATCTAGTCTGGCCCTTCAGGCCCTCCCCTATCATTGATTGCGCGCAGGTCCCGGTTGTCGTTGTACATAGGGGCTGGTGTGCGTAATGCAAGTCGCCAAGTTTGAAGATGGCATTGGCGGCGCTTGGAAATGTCTTGGGCGCCGAGGACTTAGGCCGTCACCACAGCAGCAAGTCTTCCGCGACGTCCGGGTGGCTGCACTTGGATCAAGGCAGTGCCATCGGTTCCTGCGTCAAGGATGGTGCGGGGAAGATCAGATGCTTTTCTCCACTCGTCATTGGAGTTGCGCTGTCCGGATGATCGGGTGGGATGCGTGCTGCTAGGGTCTTGGTGTAGCCGCGTATCCGAAACGGCCATACCCGCATACGAGAGAAGATGCATTTCTTTCGAAATCAAGGATTTGCATCGTCGACATGACAGCTCGAAGCATGCGCGATCTAAAGTAGCGTTGTGGATGGCGGGGAAGCCCTCACTAACGGTCAGATTGCCCGTCATCTCACACCGCTCTAGAAGTCACCGATTTGGTGTTTCGCGACCCGATTAGGTTTCCTACATCCTCGTACCTTTCTGCGCGCACATTGAGCGCGCGTGTGCTAATGAAATGTCGTCGGCCAAATTCAAAACAACCTCCAACACCATTGACACGGATTCTACCGTGACACTTCATGCGCATACCGACCCTCAAATCTCCTCGAATCGTCGCTGGAAATACCACGCTGTCCTTCTCCGTGGACGTAGAGACCTCGACGAGACGACCATCTTTGTGACCGCCGTAATTCTCTTCATCATGTCGCATCATTGAGCGACAAGTCCTCCTCGCAATTGCAGTGGCTGCGCACCTTGCTCCTTCATGCCTAGACCTTTGGCCCGATGGGGGTTCTGTTGTGTGTCTGCTCACTCGTTGATGTAGACAGACAGATCGATCTTCTCTTCAATCGAACCTTTGGCCCGGCAGAACGATCTTTGCTTTTTGCCTTCGCTCTTTGACTCAGGCATACATAGTGGTGTCTTCCATAGTATGGCTCTTTGGCCAGGAAAGTGGCTTTCGTTGTGTGTCTGCTCGCTCTATGGCGCACACAGACGCTGTGATTTTCTTATCTGCGGATCTTTGATCCAACAGAGCGGCGTTTGCTCTCTACCTTAGCTCTTTGGTTAAGGCAGGCAAATCGTCGGGAGTTTGACAGTCTGGATTGAGCTCAGAAGTGACTGTCAGTCTCAATGTCTGGCCAGGACGGGACGATCATCGTCGTATTGGTGAAGAGAAGCCTTAACCCGTTGCGAACTAATCGAAGGATATAGCGATGAACTGATTATGAAAGCCCATTCGACCATGTCCTCAGGCGGGGAGCGATGCGAACATTGCACGCTTCGGAGCGCGCATATAGCGGGTGCTCATTGAGCTCGCCATCCCCGAAAGGGTCGTCATTTTCCTCCGATTCTGCGATCGGTTTCTCGAGGCTCTCTCTTTGGGAGCTCGAAGTTGCTGTTTCATCCCGCCTATCATGTACTCTTCTCGCTCCTCGAATGCGGGTGTACCGTCAAAGTTCGGCCACATCGAACGGTGCTGGCTCACCCAGTTCGTTCGTTCTGATGTTTGTTAGGCTACTTTGTCGTTGCGATTTGAGCCAGTCATATAGCGCTAGGTCAGAGTGCGGTAGGTGACGGCCTGGTTGGCGCTGATTGAACGTCAGTGGCCGAATCGCGGTCAAGTTCCCATGGGCAGAATTGCTGGTTCCGGTACCATTGAGTGGTCCTGAATCCTTGGTAGGCACAGCTTTTAACCGAACAGTACGTACGGCGGGACTAGATAGACGGTAGTCGGCCTTGTGGTCTTCCGCATCAGTGCCAACTGCTGCAGCCAGTGAACATAGCTCCTGGAGGAGCCTATCTTGCTCGGCAAAGATGGACCCAAGATTGGACATCAAAGTGTCGACTAGCGGCACGCCTGGCAACTTCGCCGCCTCGATCGAAGTGTGTTCCGGCATATCGATTGATTCAGATAAGAATTCGAAGTCGAACATGTTCGAGAAGGATGTCTGATCAACTTCCAAGTGGAGTTGCGGTGCGACATCAGGAAGCTTGGCATCGGCCTGCTCGAAGTCTGGGAAGACTTGCGAGAAAACGCCTCGGGCCCAATCCTCTTGTAGAGGCTCCATGTCTAGCGTAAGCCTGATGGGCTTCCCGTCATCGTCAACCGTAGGTACAACGTAGTCGTCGTCGTCATCTTCCTCGTCTTGAGGGCCCAGAAGACAATCAACCTCAGCCCAGTCGAACTCATACTGATCGGTCTCTGCGACCATTTCCGTATGTACCGCGTCGAAAAACTTCTTGTCGTCTTTAGGAATTCCTGTTAGCTCAAGGGGGCAGCCGTATCCATCGAGCATGTACTCTTCTGCCATCTCGCTGTCGATCGCAAGTTCGGCTTCGGAGAAAGAAGAGTGAGTCAACGAGGGAGCCGAACTGATACTGAATGCCGAATCGTCATCTGCATTTTCCAGAGTCCACTGACCTGCTAGATACGGCTCGAGTATACTTACTACCTCCTCAAACGTTGCAGGCTTTACCTGATCGTTCTCGTCAACATTACAAACGACGCAATTGGCATCGAAGAGGCGGCCATCCGAGTAATTGGTAAGTCTAGTGAAGATGTCGTCGACAGAGAGATCTGGACTTCGCGCGAGGACGTATTTCTCCGCAAAATCTCGGAAGGTGTAGGCCGGGAACTGGGTATTATCTTCCTTTGTTGGGAGACCGGCAGTTTGGCCACCTTGGCTGAGTTGCTCATCGCCTAAATGGGAAGGCTCCTTTTCTTCACTGGAAGTAGTGTCGCTGAGTGTCTCCCCTCTACAAGGGTTTGAAGTTTCTTTCCAAAAATTCTTGATAAGCTTATCAACCATAAGCTCATCAATGACCATGGTGAACCGAGTAGAGTATTCTTGGTCTTTTGACTTCGCTTCGACAGCTGCTTGGGTCTCCCACTCAGTCCCCTCTACCTCTGTAGAGCCTCTAAGATCAGACTTAGGAGGTTGCTCAGCATGTTGAGTGAGGATGATGGGGCTCTCTGATGAGGAATGATTGTAGCCAACAGCCGAAGCACCAAAAGTGGTCGAGATAGACTCTGTATCTTTGCCAGTTAGTACTTCAGGCTTTGTTGTGTGCTCGGCCCAAAACGATTTGGGCATTTCAGGCGTTTGAGTGGCCATGCACGTCCCGGAAAGAATGTGTTCGTCGAGTTTCGGTGCGTAGGTAGAGATTGGAGCGTCAAAGGTGCTCTTAGCGATGCCGAAGTCGAAGCTAGGTGTATCGGAGAGCTGCGCATTTGGAGTGGACTGTAGCAGTACGGACGTAGGGTGGGCACTGGCAGTCCTCGAAGCGGAGTTACTAAACATGAAGCCACCAAACGATGTAAGAGGCTTCTCTAGTACCGACGGAGGAAGCCCAAATATGTTGGTGTCGGTTGGCGCTGAGACAGGAACCGGTGGTGCAGCGACCTCAGGAGCTATAGTAGCCTTCTCAGCTAAGCAAGCCAACCCGGAATTCTTCCGCGTAGCCTGAGACTTTGGGAGAAGCTTGGGACGACGAGCGCCAGTTTCGAGTACCGGAGTATGAGGAGTCGATAGCTTCGAAGCAGTGCATTCGGTCAGCACCGACGTGTTCTCCTCGCGGACTGGCGGCAGTGCGACCGACAGACCCAGAGCCATACGCGTGGCCAAGTCGAGATCTAGCAATTTCTCAGAGAAGTCTTGGTAGTTCTCGGACAGTTCGCGCAGAGTTTCGTCCCACCCAGTTGTTTCAATCTCGTCGATGAGTTGAACGTACTGGTATGTCTGCCAGATAACAGACCATGGCTTGGGATGTTCGTCGGTGATGTCGCGACTCTCGAGAGCTAGAAGGCGAGCGGCGCGTTCGGACGCTGGTAGGCAGGGAAGAATGTCCAAGAAGACGGCGTTCCAGAAATGTAATTGGGTAGTAGAGATATGAGCAGGTATGTCGTGTGTCGCAGCGGGCTCCACTGTAGCCTTCAGCTTCAGCCAGCTGTCCAACTTCTTTGCCTCTTTGCGCTCGTTGTATACGCGTCGAAGCCGCGTCTTAATGTTCTCTCCAGGTTGGGAAGTAGACGTCTTCTTCTGCGTTTTCTTCGAGACAGCGGCCACCTGTTCCGTAGCGATAATGATGGATGCGCCGATGGATCCTGCAACAGGTCGAATTGCTGTAGCCTCAATCGATTCAGGGTGATCATCGTCATTATCCACAAGGTAATCGGCGCAGTGATACTCCTTCTTATTCCAAATAAAACGAGTCGTCGAGTCCTTGGTAAGAAGGGGGTTCACAAATGGTCGATTTGACTCTTGGCAGTGAGAGGGGTCGAGGAAGAGGTAGACCATGTTGTAGAATCCGGCGTAGCGCTGGATGTCACCGAGATGTTCGGTAAGCATCATATCAAGAGCGGCGTCCTCTAGAAAGACTGAGGCGCTCTTCTTGTACTTGCGTAAGGCAGTGGCCTTGACATCTCCTAGCAGAACGCTTGACGACGGTAGAGGGCGGCTCGACATCGTAGTAGCTGTCGATGATTCGCGTGAGTATGTAACAATTATGTGGCGAACGGATCGATTGCCTCCGGTGTATTGCGTGTGGGTAGAGAGTACGGTGCAAGCGGCTGGAGACTGTATCGAGTGGGGGTAGTAAGGCGGAGCACGGACCTTCAGTGAAAGTTCGGACTGGAAGGAGACTTGCCTTAGCGCATGGAGGAAGCCGTGAGGTTCCTGGAATGATTGAGCAAGAGCGAGCTGAGTGGCCTTTTGAGAGTGCGAAGAAGGCGTAAGATCAACTTAGGGAAGAAGGTCAAGAGACGATATCGAAAAGAAGGCCAAGAAGCGTAGGCGCCAAGGCCGGGGTGGGTGTAGGGAAGACACGTGCCTTGAGATACTGCCCAGATGGGAAGGAGAGACACTCAATGAAACAAGGAACTGTATCTGTTTCACTGTTCTGATCATAAGCTCTCCGAAAAGCAATAGTACAGGAGCGTACATAGGAAGATACGTCGGTGACATTGGGGTATTGATGCTAGGAAAATTTGACTGGGTATAGTAGGGGGAAGTGCGCGTGCTTCATCGCTGTTATCCTCAACAATCTGCGTCCACCCTTTTTTGGTCGACCATCCACTTCCGGAAAGCTCGCGCCTTACTTCGTGCGCCTATACATGCCGTCGCATCCAGATGGCTAGCAATAGAGAACGCTTCTACGATACGTAATGCGGCTACCTCATCGACTTCATCGAAAGGTATCAAGTCCAGGAATTGCCGTAGTGTAATGGAGCCCAGCTTGACTTGCGACTGGACAATGTAATCGACGCTAGTAACGTCCATGAGGCTCAGTGTTGTTCGCATAACTAGATCCCACCCCTGGCCAGCAGAACATTGTCGAGCGTAGAGCTGCTCTGATGCTGCCAGTTTTACGAATGCCCGAGCAATCGCATCTTTAGTAGCGGTATGGTTTGGTGTAGTTTCCAGTGTTTCTAGGAAGTCGTCTAGCGAGCCAGTTCCTATGAATGTATGCCGGTGCTTGTACTCTAGATCCCGTTCTTCTGGAGTCAATGCGTCTACGCTGGTGGTATAGTAAGCGGTCTCCATGCCAGGCGTTTGCTTTGTACAGCTTTCGACACCGGGCTTTCCAAATGGCTGGGTGGCGCTGGCCTGGCTTTCGTGTGTGTTGACTGGAAGGTTCAGAGAGACCTTCCGACGGTGTCTTATTTCAGGGGCGTTGTTTGTGGTTTCCTTGGAAGAATTTGCCCTAAACAATAGCAGTCCATCGTTCGTTCTCGATCTTGACCGAAGCGGGATTTGAGGCGTTTCAGTAACGTCGAAGCTTGATTGAGAAGAGACGTATCGACGATGCCGAAAAGGGCGTTTAGCGACAGGATCGATTTCGTGCTCTACCATTTGGGGAGTCCAGGTGATTGACACTCCTTCCGTGGATGCGTCGTTACAAGCTATGTATGCACTGATGTCTTCATCGCATCCTAGCTGGCTAGGTGTGCATACAGGCGCGTCTTCGAACAAGGTTGTATCTGAGGTCGGGGATGCTGTGTCACTGGCGTCTTCAGGGTGCGGCGTCGGAGAAAGAGATCGTGGGGCGCATGCACCCATGGCAGGGAAGCAGAAGGTGGTGAAAATCTGGTACTCGTGGTCGGTCGTCCCTTTCCAGGCCTTTGTGACAGTGTCGCGTGCAGGAAAGCCGAATCCGCCAGCACATGGGTTTTGTGCAGCATTTGCTCCTGTAGCCACCGCGCCTCTGTCTGCGTTGGGTTGCAAAGCCGCCAGAACGGTACTGCCAGTGCGTTCGCTCATTAACATTGGCCTCCAAACGCACGGCTTGCGGAGATGTCCTATCGAAATTCTGTGTAAGCTTTTGTATAATAGACCTTGTATCTACTCTGCATCCGACTGGGACTTACTAGGTGCTGTACTAATCTTATTCAAAGCGATGGTCCTGACACCGACTGCGACTGTGTCGCATCTCTCGTTCGCAGTCGATGCGACGAGGGATTGCACATGATTCGACGCTGGCTGAGCTTGTGCGTCCGTTGTTTGCTTGTCTGGCGTTTGTCCAATGCCGATGCTTACGAGTTCGCCTTGGTGCTCCAGGTGAGTGCGATTGGCAGCGTCACAAGATGGCTGTTTTCTTCGGCGCAGGTATTCGTTTGCGATCGCATAGCGAGCGACAGTCGACGGCTTCATAATGGCTATGAGTCTGGACAGAGTTCGGACGCATATAGCGACTGCGCGCAAGCGGTGGTGGGGCGGTTGTTGTGGTCGGGTGAGGATCACGCGTATCAGGAAAACATGGCAACAGACGGCTGCAAGCTCCACTATTACCAGCCCGAGTGACTTCAGACGATCGAAAAAGAGTAGGAGGGTTCGCAATGCGTAGTGCAACCAGACAATGTACACCATTGCTGTGTTGACAGGTGCATTACGGAAGAAGGAGACCCGGCCAGCGGCGATGTTAGCTTGTAGTTTGATTCTGTTAAAGCCGCATACATACCTTGCTATCGCGATCGATAGCAATAAAGAATCGCCGAGGAAGACCAATGGTGTTGTGATGAGGATGGCGTCAAGTGGAATGTTGTTGCAACCACTACCACGTGGCAACCGATATCTGTGGAAGGAACGCAAGGCAACATGACTTGACAAGACATGCAACAGAAAGAACGATCACAGAAATGTAGAAGAAAGATAAAAGTATCAGCCGAACTCTTCTCTCTCGTTTGAAGGCTGTATCTTCAGGCACCTCCTCCTCTACCCTTTGTACGTGCTACCCGGACACTGTGAGGAACAAACTTCAGTGCAGACATGCTAGAAGCCAGACTGTCCATGAAATCGGTCGGCTGATCAGTAGTGGCTGTCTTTGGGGCAGTGATACCTGCTGCATCTTCTCGTGCGAGTCCGCGGCCTCCGAATCCACCACGCCCGTGAAGTCTGGTGGGGTAGCGACGCGTTTCTCCTTCTTCCTGAGCTTCTTCGTGATCCATCTCCAAAGTGTCACCAGTACTTGCGCTGGACTCACCTCTCCGCCTCCTTGGAGAGCCAGCAGCGCCATTCGCCGAACTCATTGTCGAGCTTCTTCGTCGGTGAGAGGGTATTAGCATGCTGCTTCGGCGATCGATACCGTCTTTCACAACGATGAAGTCGTATTCGCGAGGGAACTGGTGCTTATCAATGCAGTGGAGGCGGCGCTTCTGGGGCGTGCTGCACAGGCGATCGCAGTCAGGTAGAAGACATGCATACTGCGAGCCATCAGCTACAGTGTCCATGTGAAGACGCTAGTACTCCGCATACCTCACCAGTATTACTCCGAATGAATGGCAGTACCTGTCAAGAGGAAGGAACCACTCGTGAGATCCGGAAAGGGAAGGAGCAAACACGTGACAAACAACGTAAGGAAATGACCTACCGTTTTCTCTCCTTGATCTCGCTTGGCAGCATTGATAGGATCGTGATATTCGGCAATATGCAGATGTAGAAAGTGCTGATCCGGAAAGTTCTTGTGGCATTCGCTGCATCGGTTCATGTGAACTTGCTGGTAGTGCACATCGTGGTCTTCAATGGAATTGAACGCAAGCGGTTCGTGCGGAGGCAGTGAGCACTTCATGATGATGGGTTCGTCAGAGACGGCAGATTCGGTATCTAAGTGGACAATCTTGACGTCGACCGATGTCTCACGCGAGTAGGGTGTGCTGTCTGATGACGAGGAATCGCGGTGTGAGCGCTTGATCCCCATTGTATGTTGATTGGGGCTGATTGTGACTGTGACGAGGCGTAGATGAAAGGGGCAGTACCTTTTACCGGGGAGAGTGCCGTCTCGCAGGGCTGTTTCACTTGGGTGTTGGCTGTGCGGTGAAAGAGAGAGGGTTGGTAGCCAGCCAGGCCGGGACGTGGTACCTTAGCTCCGAGACTGCTGCGCCCGCTAGTTCTCGCGACTCATCCACCAACCTCACTTTCTCACACCTCTCACCACGGCCATCGCCTCCGACTCTGACGCCATAGCTCCGCGTCTTGGGCGCTGTTTGCCTCCGAGACCCTCCCGCTCGCTTCTGTCCTTTACGCAGGGCATACCCCCTCACCATAAATGGAGCACGCCAGCCACAACGTCCGCCGCCTGCTCCGTGCCTTCGTCTGACCTGCCCGCCGACCGTGGGGTCACATATGAACGTCGCCGGCTCCTGCACATAGAAGGCATGGCTGCCAACACCGAACAACTCGACAGGTGCGTCATTGCGTCATTCTGGCAATGTCGGCCGGGTGCTAATAAAAGTATAGACGGGCGAAGGCGATCGAGAAGGACCTGTATAAGCGCGCTGATGGCGGCTCTTCGTGCGCCGAGTTAGCTGCGGTGCTGCAAGAGTAGGCATCGTTGCCACTTCATACCGGCGACAACTAATGTCCGACAGGTACCGCGCCGCCTGCGAGGCCCTTATCTTCTCCAACTTCGAATACGCATCCGCCCGCGAACTCCAGACGACGCTGTGGAATGCGCATCTGAAGGTCAACACCAAATTCAGGCAGGAACATAAGCTGGTGCGTCACCACGCGAGAAAGCACGAGAGGCATCGCTAACACCTGGCAGCTCAAGCGATCCAAGGACCATGTCGTCGAGATCCGCAAGTTCCAAAAGACCTATCTGCAGTTTATCAAGGCCAGCCAGCGCTTCTACCGCCAATACATACTGAACCTCGACACTCAGTTCGACGGCATCCCAGAGCTGCGCAAAATCGCCCAGAAATGGAAGGATGATAGTAAGCACGCCCGGTGTGCGCCACGCGACTTTGCTGATAAGAGAGCAGCCTCCAAGTCCTCCCCGCGCCAGCGCATCGCCGCGAACCTGAAAACGCAGGTCCTCATCTCTTGCCACCAGACGCTCATCCAACTTGGCGACCTTTCCCGCTACCGCGAAACCGAACTCGTTGAGAAGAACAAGGACCGCAATTGGGGACCAGCCAAAGGCTACTACGACCTGGCCGCAGAGATATACCCAGATTCCGGACATGCGCCGAATCAACTCGCAGTAATCGCCCGCGAGGACGGCGATCACTTCCGCTGCGTATACCACCTCTACCGCTCGCTAGCAAGCAAAGAGCCGTACCCGTCGGCCAAGGCCAACCTCGCGACCGAGTTCAAGCGCGTTATAACTGCATGGGACAATGGGCAGCTCATCAACAACCACAAGTCAGCCGACGGTAACACCGGTCGGGCTTTGATTGCTTGGTTCATCAGACTGCACAGCAAGCTCTACAAGGGCGAGGAATTCGCGGCGCATGATGAGTTGGAAGGCGAGGTGCTCAGCCACTTGGCTATCGAGCTCAAAGAGCGCCCCTTGGACTCCATCTTGACTAAGATCATCCTCATTAACATGTCAGCCGAATACTTTGCGACGGTGCAGTTGCAGAGTAAGTTGTCCATCCTTCACCCGCTAACTTGGCTAACCATGACAGGCGAAAACCCACCCCCGAACATTATGCGCACCTACTTCTACTACCTTCGTCTGAACGTTAAGACATTCTTCATCCTATTACAAGTCCTGCAGCCGGAGCTGGACCGCCTTTCCGAAGGCAACGATGTGAAGCACCAGAACGGCGACCGCGCGGCCCATCTATCCGACAAGATTACAGCTGTGGCACGCCGCATCCTCCCAGGACTTCGTCTATACAGCACCTGGTTCACGCGCTACTGGAAGGTACTCAACGCCAATATCGCCGATACCTTGAATCCTGTCGACGTTCAGGAGCTCTGGAAAGCCTACGCTGCTACCTTGTCTCTTTTGGCCTCGAGCTTTCCCGTCGACCAACTTCCCCAAGAAGACTACATGTTGGAGGAGGATACGGATACGATTGGGTTTGAGCCGCTCATTTCCCCGGATACCATGAAGCTCTGGTATAAGGGGGATGTAATGAAGCAGAAGTGGACTGAGCTGGAGCGCAACCACCCCAACGTCGAGATGCTCATGCGAGTGAAGGATTTGCTGATCGATGGTCTGCTCCTCACGCAGATTGACGATGCACCACTGGACTTGGCGGGCCCACGATTCATCTACCGAGAAGAAGGATTACCATCGGAGCTTCTGGCGAGCCCAA